GCGTCTTTTATTTATTGATATTAAAATAAATGAGCAAACAACATACACAGCCGTGCTAGACAGTGAGTCACGACACCATACAGTAACTCACGACACCATACAGTGACTCACGACACCATACAGTAACTCACGACACCATACAGTGACTCACGACACCATACAGTAACTCACGACACCATACAGTGACTCACGACACCATACAGTGACTCACGACACCATACAGTGACTCATAAAACCATACAGTGAGTCATGGCACCATACAGTGACTCATGACACCATATAGCGATTCATGACACTATACGGTGACTCGTGACACCATACCGTAACACTTGGCACCATACAATGAGTCATGGCACAATACAATAACACTTGGCACCATACAATGAGTCATGACACTATACGGTGACTCGTGGCACCATACAATGACTCACGATACCATACAATGACTCAGGTGACTCAGAGACGTAACAGTCATTATGATAATCACCATACAATGACTTAGTGCACAATACAACCACCATATGATGACTGGGTGACGCCATAAGTTACAATATAATCTCTTTACAATTAATGAGTGACGTCACATTCAACGTGCAATAATTGAGTGACGTAATAATGACCATCAATCATCATACAACGAGTTACTTGAATTAAGATTATTTATCAACACGTAATCAATGATGAACAAGTGATGTCATCGTACCGCCACCGTAAATTATACTACTGTATACAATGATCAAGTAAAGTCAGTGTATAATGATTGGCGACGTCACTATACAGTATCCTTGTAACGTCACTATATAAATACTTGGTGACATCATCATATAGTGACCAGATGACATAACAATGATCTGAATGACATCATAACACACTACCACAGGTGGTAAAAATCACCATTACAAATATTTTTAGTGACTTCACCAAATACAATATCCCGAAGAAGTCAGTTACCATTACAATTATCCAGTGACATCAACCCAATATACAGTGAGGTGGTGACTTCACTGTATACTCACCTGGTCAGCATCCCACAAAAAATACTCTGCCTAAATCAACAGGTTAATTAAGGTGCAGGTAAACAGCTCGTAAAAAACTACACTCAGAAGTTATTGTTGACGATCATTGAGATATATATTATACATTCTCTTACATAACTTTTTGGGACAGGGGGAACGTGGGGGAGGGGAGGGGGTGGGGGTGTGGGGAGTGGGGAAGTGGGGGGAGGGGAGGTGGGGGAAGTGGGAGGGAGGGAGGGGGGGGAAGAGGAGGGAGTGGAGGGAGTGGTGGGGAGGTGGGGAGTGTGGGGAAGTGGGGGGGGAAGGGGGGAGTGGGGAGAGGGGGGAGGGGGGAGGGGGGGGAGGTGGGGGTGGGGGAGTTGTGGGGGGGTGGGGGTGGGGAGTGGGGAGGGGAGGGGAGTGGGGAGTGGGGGGGAAGTGGGGAGGAGGGGTGGGAGTGGGGGATGGGGAGGTGTGGGGAGGAGGGGGGGGTGTGGGAGGGAGGTGGGGGGAAGGGAGGGGAGGTGAGGGAGGGGGTGAGGGGGGAGGGTGGGGGAATGTGGGGGAGTGGGGGAATGTGGGAGTGTGGGAAAGGGGGAGGGGAGGGAGGGGGGAGTGGGGGAATGTGAGGAAGTGGGGGGGTTGAGGGATGGGGAGGGGTTGTGGGGAGGTGGGGAGGTGGGGAGGTGGGGGGAATGTGAGGGAGGGAGTGTGGGGAAGTGTGGGGGTTTGAGGGAGGTGGGAAGTGTGGGGGAGTGGGGGAATGTGAGGGAGGTGGGGAAGTGTGGGGGGAGGGAGGGGAGGTGGGGGAGGTCAGGGGAGTGTGGGGAGTGTCAGGGAGTGGGGGAAGAGGAGGAGAGGGGGAGAGAGGAGGGAGAAGGTGAGGAAGTGGAGTTGAGAGGGAGGTACAGTGATGGCGAGGAAGAGAGAGAGAGAGAGAGAGAGAGAGAGAGAGAGAGAGAGAGAGAGTGTGTGTGTGTGTGTGTGTGTGTGTGTGTGTGTGTGTGTGTGTGTGTGTGTGCAAGGAGAGAAAGCTGGGGAGGGCGTTAAGAGGAGGAGGAGAAAAGAGAGAGTTGGAGAGGAGAGAGAGGGAGAGAGGAAGAGGGAGGGAGAGGGAGAGGGAGAGGGAGGGGGAGAGGGAGAGGGACAATATATCACTGGGTTAAATTTACCAAATATAAACACAACGAAGCAACACTAAATATGACTTATGTACAATACTGGGGGCAAGAGAGGGCAGGAAAGGGCAAGAGAGGGCAGGGGAGGGCAGGAGAGGGCAGGGGAGGGCAAGAGAGGGCAGGGGAAGGCAAGAGAGGGCAGGAGAGGGCAAGAGAGGGAAGGAGAGGCAGGAGAGGGCAGGAGAGGCCTGAAGGAGAAAGAACAGGCGAGTGGGGAAAGGAGGGAAGAAGAGAGAATTAAAAGGAGAGGGAGGAGAGAAGAGAAATGGGAGTAGGGAAAGAGGACAGAAGAAGGAGAGAGAGAGAGAGAGAGAGAGAGAGAGAGAGAGAGAGAGAGAGAGAGAGAGAGAGAGAGAGAGGGAAATGAAGGGGAGAAAAGACAATGAAATGCTAGGGGAGAGGAGAGGAAAGGAAAAGAGGAGAGGTCATTGAATGGGAGAGGAGGTGACGTAAGTGGGGAGGATATAGGAAAGGAGATTGGGAGGAAGAAGAGATGATGGGATGGGAGGAGGAGATGGGAGAGGAGAAGGAGAGGAAATGAGTTTAAGGTGCAGGGGGGAGGAGAAATGCTCGAGGGTGGGGAGAGAGGAGTCGATCTGGGTAGTAGATGGTGCGGAAAGGTGGCAGGAAAGGGGCGGAGAGTCGAGACGAGGAGGAGCAAGAGGAGGAAGACGCGGAAGTAGAGGAAGAAGAAGAGGAAGAGGAGGAGGAGGAGGAGGACGAAGCCATGTGGGGGGATTCTGGCTGAGTTATAGCGGTGGGGCGAATCTGGTCGAGGTTAGGGACGAGGGGTGGGCGAAGGAGGGTGAGAGAGGGGGGCGAAGGAGGGTGAGAGAGGGGGGGCGAAGGAGGGCGAGAAGGTGAGAGGAGGGGGGAGGAGGAGAGTGAGGTAAGCGAGACCTGTAAAGATCACACAACCTTGGCTGTCGTGACTACAAGGCATCACCGAGTCTGTGTCAGCCGCCACCTCCCCTTTGCTGCTGACATTTGTTGGACAATGAATCACGTCAGCAGCAGCAGCACAAGGTCTCACAACAGCTGCTGCTGCTGCTCCCTGATGGAACTGAGAAACACAGCCAGCCAACCAGTGCCACCTTGGGTATACTGTCCATTTTCTCTTAATTGCGGCCGTATTCATAAGCGACAGTTGGGAGTCGATAATGAGCACTGGGAGGCGTGGGTGGTGAGGTGGGGTGTCCTTCACTACTAGATACACACACACTCACGTACACACTCTCACTCTCTCCCTCACACGTGCATTCACACTCGGAGCTGTCACCACCATTGTACACAGTAATGGTCCCTCATGCTGCTGCTGCCAAGCCGTCGATGCTGTTGCTGCCATTGGTCGCTGTTTCAGTTGCTGGTTTAATGGCTTTGAATGCTGAACGTGTATCTGTACGATCAATATCATCTCAGTATCATCACGTTAAACGTCTTATGCCTGACATCACCTGTTAACACACCACATCACATATTGTGTCACTGTCGTAAGCGGATATCACTTACTGAGGAAGTATCTTGTACTTACATCATCTTAATCACTTGCCACATCAAATAAGTTTTTTATGCAATATCACTTCAGTGTCGGCAATTTTTACTCGAAATGCAGGTGAATATTTGTACCAGGAGTCACCTTGGAGGTTCACAGTTGACATGACACCAGGAATTTCTCGTCTCATTAAACACACTATTAACATTTCCTGTACACAAGAAGCTACAAAAGCAGTACAGTATCGTGCCACCTTTGAACCTATAAAATGACTCCTACAGAAGAACTACACTGACTGACCTTATAAAATATAGCGTTTAATATTTCCCCTTTTTTTTCATAATCAATGACAGATTTACGAACAACATTATCCAATTCATTCTTAACTACGCCAGAGATATTAACACTAAATCATTGTATTAAAATGAGAACAAAAGTCACCCATCACATAAATATTGACATAATGATACAGCAAAATAAAGATTAAAGATAGATAATATTACAAAGAGAAAAATAGTGACCAAAAGTGATATTGCAAGACAAATGTTAGACTATAAGCACAGGTTTTACTCAATTGTCCTCGCGTAATATTTACCACCGCAACACACAAAAACTTTACTTACATTCACCCAACTTCACTTTTTCTTCAGGATTTCAATAAATTCAACTTCTGTAACCCTGGAAATATCATTCACTGTGTTCTTAAGTTTCAGTTTGTATTCTCAAGTGGTACATTTCAAGTTACATTAGTCAAGTAGCACTCTCAGTATTGCACTCCTAGGTTCTATATTTTCAAGTCTCATTAGCAGGTTACACTCTCAGGTCGCCGGGGCAGACATACATTTGGCACTGTATATAGTTTTAGTCAGGTGTGGTGGGGATGGTAAGGGGGGGGGGACACACCTGAAACGAGAGAATAATTGGTTAGTCTAATAATATTACTGAAAGAGAGACAGAGAGACAAATAGACAGACATATAAAGATAGAGACAGAGACAAAGAAAGACAGTCAGACAGACAGACGTAATCATTTCATCTTACCTGAGTGGGTGACGACTCCTCTCCTAATTAATGAGAGTCAAGGTGAGGGGGAAGGAGGGGGAGGGGGTAGCAGGAGAGATGAGGGGGCGGGTGTTACCTCAGCAACCCCACCGCCACACCTAGCAACACTACCCACACCTGTACACTCACTACACCCGCCGCCACACCTGCAATAATACAACAAAACATTAGTCCGTGAAATAACATGTTCCATCACCACACGTAATTACCCATTAGAACTACCCAACGAACCCATTACAACTACCCAACCCACCCATTACAACTACCCAACCCACCCATTACAACTACCCAACCCACCCATTACAACTACCCAACCCACCCATTACAACTACCCAACCAAACCCATTACAACTACCCAACCAAACCCATTACAACTACCCAGCCCACCCTACAACCACCCAAACCCATTACAACTACCCAAACCCATTACATACCCAACCCACCCATTACAACTACCCAAACACCCATTACAATTACCCAACCAAACCCATTACAACACCCAACCAAACCCATTACACCACCCAACCCACCCATTACAACTACCCAACCAAACCCATTACACTACCCAACCAAACCCAGTACAATTACCCAACCAAACCCATTACAACTACCCAACCAAACCCATTACAACTACCCAACCCACCCATTACAACTCACCAGTCAACATACTCTGACTCTCAAGGGGGTCACGGCGACGGTTAAGATGGGCGCGGGCGTAGATGGTATTCTCTCGGTAGTAGACGGCGGCGATGGTGGCGGTGCAGCGGAGTTTGAGGTGTCCATTACGTAGGTGACTTGGCCGGGCGCGGAAATGGAGACCTAGGATAGAGGATTCCAGACCCTCTCCGTTGGGCACCGGGGCGTAGTCCACTAGGGATGAGCTGTCCGCCTGTATGTGTGTGAGGAAGAAGAGGGGGAGGGGGAGGAGGGGAGGAGGTAGGAGGAGGGGGGAGAAGAAGACGGATTAACTTTCAAACTCTGGGTGGTTTTTTTTTTTGAGGTATTGCTGCCATGACGAACAAGTGATAAAGCCCTGGAATACAACAGTACCCAGTGAATGTTTGTGTGTGTGTGTGTGTGTGTGTGTGTGTGTGTGTGGTAGTGATTTTTGTATGTATTTTCGTTGTGTGTGTGTGGTAGTGTTTTTTGGTATGTATTTCGTGTGTGTGTGTGTGTGTGTGTGTGTGTGTGTATGTGTGTACATTTGTAAATCAACACATACCCATATTTGTATTATATGTTAAAAAGACTTTGTACATTCGGACCTGCTTTCTTTGATACGTTCATATCCTGGCACTGCTCTGCGTCAACAGTGTGTGTGTTTGTATAGGCTGAGGTGGGCCAGTTTACTCTTTGTCCAACTTGGTCAAAATTGGGTTGACTGGCAGAGGGCGCCACTGTCTGGTAACACCTGGGCTCCCACTCCCTCTCCTACACCCTCTTTCATTAATCTCCAACACCGTTTACTTCTCTCCTCCCTTCACCACCCCTCACTTTATTCCCCCGTTTGTTCCCTCGTCTTTCCTTTCTCATATGTCAATTCTATATCTCTCTCTATATATACAGTATTTCACTCCTACCTCCACCTCGGTCATGTCTGCCTCGCGCTGTTGTCGTTCAGGTTTCATTTTTGTCAACTCATCTTCTGCTTTTGTTTAATATGATGTAATAAATGACTCTGAAGGAATAACAATTGGTCTTTTTATTCCTGATATTTTACTAGATAAGAACTGCTTTCTCCACCTCTCTCTCTTTTTCTCTGTCTTCTTCTGCATTATCCATCCTTCCCTCCCTCCATTCTTCCCTTCGTTTCTCCTACTCAACGCGACAGCTCCCTCTCATCTCTTCCAGAACCTCAAGAGATAGAACAAGAGGAAAATTCCCCACCTTAAGATTACATCGCTTCTCACCGGTGATTATGAAGTTTGAGCTGGTCTTAATAACACCTCCTCCTCTCGCCCAACTTGCCAGACAAAAGTTCCCCCGGACGGCGCCCTGATGAAGCTCTTCCCGCAGCCTATGACTCACTCTATAGCGCAAGTTGGTGACATCCATCCATACACTGTTGGCTGATGATGCTCTGAGTGAACCCCGGCAGGAGGAGGAGGGGGGGGGGACTACTGAAGGTGACCAACGCCTCCTTCCCTTAGGTCGTGGTGTTTAGGCGTTTTGACGCAAAGAAAGTCTCATGACCCGAAGAACTAAGTTATTCATCATCCACCACTACGGAAACCTTGGGGATATATTTTAATATTACTCGTGTGTTGTGCCGTGAGTCACATGTTAACCCGGGCTGTAGAATGAAAAATGAATATCCTGGTCTGGTTACCTAAAATATCAATATAATCAAAGACTTTAAGTGAAACATTCAAAGCCCAGGACGAAGATCAAGGGGAATTTTATAAATACTTATGATCTGGAAAGCTAAGAGATTGATCACTAAGGAAGAATAATATTATAGAGGTTTCTTCAGTATACTGTCACGTGGTCACAGTGTTCTTATAATAATATGCACCTTACCTGTACTAATAGTAGTTAAGGTATTCAGCGCACCATCAAGGTATACGGTATCGATCCCTATGATCACCAAAGTGTACCGTATTCGTAGCTTTGATCGTAGGACGCACCCAAGGGAGGACGGGGGGCACAGGGGCTGCCTTTGTCTCTCCCTTATTAAATATTTGGGTACACCACCGTTTCGACCCACTGATTATAACCTACCTCTCTCCCTCTAAGTGTATAGGTCGTGGGGTACGTACCTGCTTGTCGTTGATGTACCACATGAGGCCAGCGGCAGGCCTGGAGGGTGAGGAGGTACAGTTGACTTGTACCACATCCCCGGCGTGGTAACTTGCATGGAAGCCAGAGATGTGCGGGTCACTCTCCGGGATGTCTGAGGAGACACAGTGACGCATGTTGGGGTAATAATAATAATAATAATAATAATAATAATAATAATAATAATAATAATAATAATAATAATAATAATAATAATAATAATAATAATAATAATAATAATAATAATAATAATAATAATAAATAATAATAATAATAATAATAATAATAATAATAATAATAATAATAATAATAATAATAATAAATAATAATAATAATAAATAAATAAATAATAATAATAATAATAATAAATAAATCATAAATAATAATAATAATAATAATAATAATAAATAAATAAATAATAATAATAATAATAATAAATAAATCATAAATAATAATAATAATAATAAATAAATAAATAATAATATAATTCACAATGTAATAACCAAACCCCATCAAAATTAAATATGTTTTGCTGATAAATAAACTGCCGATTTCATTTCACACCCGTCAGTCATACAGTGGAAAATATTACCCCCAAAAAAGTTAGGCTGTGTGAACCAAAATAAGCTTGAGAGTGCCTATACAACCTGTACATCATCAACCATATTAATACCTGGCTGTTAAAAATAAATCACCTGTGGTCTAGTTAATAAGGAGGATTATGTTAATGTGTTGATAATTATATATACAGAATATATATATATATATATTTTATTTTATTTTTTAAGGGGGGTAAAAATAATCATGGCGGCTGGTGGGATGATTAGGATGATGAGGTCAGGTTCTGGTGGGTGGAGAGAGAGGAGAGAGAGAGAGAGAGAGACCTGCCGTCAGCTAGTATGGTGTTTAAGGCTCCCTCCTCCCTCCCTCCCTCCCTCCCCCTCCCCAAGGATAACATAAACACAGTCTTTATTCCCTGGAGGCAATCACAGTCCTGGCCTAAACAGTGTTCAGGTGGACAGGAGAACAGGGAAGGTATAAATCAACAAACCACAACTGAAACTAAACTGCGTAAACGAGAAGAAGAAAGTGAAGACAGGTAGACAGACAGGCAGACAGACAGACAGACAGACAGGCAGACAGAGAGAGACAGACAGACAGGCACGAGAGAGAGAGAGACAGACAGGCAGACAGGCAGACAGACAGACAGGCAGGCAGACAGAGAGACACAGCAGACAGGCAGACAGACAGACAGGCAGGCAGACAGAGAGAGACACAGACAGACAGGCAGACAGGCAGACAGACAGACAGGCAGGCAGACAGAGAGAGACACAGACAGACAGGCAGACAGGCAGACAGACAGACAGGCAGGCAGACAGAGAGAGACACAGACAGACAGGCAGACAGGCAGACAGACAGACAGGCAGGCAAAAGACAGACAGAACAAAGATATTCCTATCAATATGGCATAGATTTAAGTCCTAAAATTAATAAAAAAAGAACTAATCAGAAATATCATTCCAAAGTCAATACGGAATTAATAATAGCCTTAAAAACAAAAATAAAATAAGAGTTAAAATGCTTAATTGACTCAGGTAGTAATTAAAACAACTCTTAGTTAAAACCTTTACTAATTAACAACAGGTGTGGATATAACAAGGACACACACACACACACACACACACACACACACACACACACACACACACACACACACACACACACACACACACACACACACACACACACACACTTAGCAGCCATTCATCAAGTGTGAGTAATGTGAGAAGATCTTGTTGTCGTATACATAACCAGGTAAGGAGGACACCTGGGCTGACTTACGCCTCTGTTAATGGTCTATAAATTCCTTGGGAGGTGTGGCGGGGTGGGTGGAGGAGGGAGGGTGAGGGTGTGGGGGGTAGGTGGGGGGTGTGTGGGTGAGGGGGAGGTGAGGGGGGGTGTGAGGAGGAATTTACTGCCCACCCACTGAGTATACAAAATATTCTTTCAGTTTAGAGGTTAGTGAGTGAGTGAGTGAGTGAGTGAGTCGTCGTCCTCATTGAATACTTAAGTAAAAAAAAATGAGTCAAATGAGGAATCGATGATACGAAACTTAGTAATGAATAAACTACGAGTATATTGATTTCCTTAATTATTCACTTAAACGATGAATAAGTTGGTGAATTAGTGAATACAAACACCGCAGGTAGGGACAGTGTTCACACCATTACCTGGCCTCTCTCTCTCTCTCTCTCACAAACACCGCAGGTAGGGACAGTGTTCACACCATTACCTGGCCGCGTCACCTGAGGATCAGTGAAGGGGATTTCCCCGCCACCACTAATATAGACAGCAGGGAAAGACTCTCGCCCTCCCTCCCCCTGGCCGCTGGGGGTCTGGTCGCCTGGCAATTACTGTATATCCCTAAGAAGTGTTGCTTTAAGGTGTGTAATAACCATTCTGTTGTTGTTTTTATCACCTGAGACGAAAAATTAA